CATCGAATATGTATCTCACGGTGAAATATAGTCAAGGGGATCCCATACGCTAAAAGAGCAACAAACGACGCTATAGTAGAACGGACGCTCCCACTACAGTATTCCATTAGAGAAAGAGAAAAAGAGAGTCGGTGGGGGGAGAAAGCAGCGGCAAGAGAGAGAAAGAGAGAGAGAGAAAGAGAGAGAAAGAGGGCGAGTGACAGAGACACAGTGGGAGAGTGAGCAGTATAGAAAGGGTGAGAGTGAACATAAACTCGAGAGGTGGGAGTATATGGTGGGTCCTCGAAGGGAAGTAGCGTCAGTCGCGCGGCACGCGGCGCACCGTACGCGTGTGGGTATCCTCGCGTCGCCATTTTGTCGGTGCATCGTATATACATACATCGTTCCCAGTTCCACGACGAACAATTCCATTGTAGCGCAATAATTGGCACCTCCGTGTTCCCTCGCGCACACGATCGAACCTCTCGTTGAATCGTCACTAATTTCCTAATAAACAAAAAGAAACAGAAGCTGTCGCATTAATCCGGTAAGATTCTCTTCGCTTCGTGACGATAGCGACACGCATCTATCAACCGTGACAAGTAAGCAATTTCGATTGTTGTTGCCTCTGAATTTTTGAATCTATCAAACGATTCGTCGGTGGAATGTCGAACCAGTGATGTTTCGTTACGATTTTGTGTTACGTGAGAGGATATTTTCGAAGTTATTGGATTATGGTTCAATGATTTTTCGATTGTTCAGCAAAAGGCCGGAGTGTGAGAGACGCAGCAGTGTGTTGTTCGTTCCTGTGTGACCACTGAAACCGTATAAGCGGCTGCTCGGCTCGACCGAGTAATTATTACCGGGATAAATTACCTCGCGCGAATTACGAAAGGTTTCTGCCTTTAACGGGATTGAAACGTGGTCGGGAATGGCGCGGGAGCGCGCGCGCGCGCGCAGCCCCGTTCACGCTATAATCGCGCCATACTCCATCGGAACTTTGTACCCTTTGTGGCGCACGTGCTTCGACTCCGCCGTGACAGCAGGCCTGACGACTAAAAAATTAGCCCCGACCATGCCAGCCGCTAGAAATCGCTTCTCTCGTGGACTTCATCTGTTTGGAATGTTCGAATCTTGGGAAATTCAAGCTGCTTTCGAATAGAATTGATTTTGAAATACTTCCGATTTTTATGATTTCTGAAGGTTTTAAATAGTTTTAGTTGAAAATTAATCCTGACTATGCAAACTGCTCGGAATTACTCTCTTGTGAATTCATCTTCTTGGGACGTTCGAACCTTAGAATATTCAAGCTGTTTTTAAATGGAATTGTTTTTGAAATATTCTAATATTAATATTAACACTAGACCTACGGTACCAGTCAATACGACTGGTTTTAGTTTTCTTATTTCGCGATTATTGATATTTTTAAAGCATGAAATATTTGCAAAATAAATAGTTTCATTTGAACGCTATAGTAAAGAATCTGAAGAATCTAAAAAATGTATTGTTCCGATTTTTATAAGGATTACGTATCAATCACATGAAATCAGTAGTTCTAGTGGTAGATTTGTTTTTTTGGATTGTGCGAATTTTCGAACGAATTTTTCCAAAATGCTTTTAGTTGGTTCACTGTTTTCCATTAAGCACTCGAAGAATTTGTTTTGGAACCGTGTAGAAATATTTCTGCACATTTGACGCACGTAAATGTTGAAAAATCAATCTTCGAAATGTGAAGGTTGCACGAACATCCGCAGCTAAATCATTATTAGACTGTTTAAAGTGTATGTACTCCTAGCACGGACATGTCTCCAAACAATTATAAAATGAAGGAATTAATCGAGTTTAATACTGTGCAACTTTATTTACGGTTTACTAGAATCCATTTACAAAGGCAACAAAACTGCCACTTCCTTTCGGTATCCTACAAAAGCTTGTTTGTCGATTTGCATAAACTTCCGCAGTCTATTCGTTGCGAATCGTTCACGTTGTCGACTGTGCGACGAACGTTTCGGAGCGTTTTAAATTCCATTCACGGTCGGAGGTATTTCATTGTGATCGCGGCAGCAACCCTCTCCCCCATTTTCGCGCTAAACGGACCGTAAACAAACTTTTCAATTAATGCTAAATGATATTTCAAAGCGGGCCACAGATCCGACCAGAAATAAATGTTCGCGCGCGTCGCTCCTACGAATTCTCGGAATATTATTCTCTATGGCAAAAAAGAGACGTTGCCTTGTCGGAGTTTAATTTTAGCTTTCTAGAGCTAAAGAAAAATTGTTCGGCGGTGTCTGCGAACGAGCCTCCTACGAATTTTGTGTCCGTTGCTGCCAAGACTCGTCGGCCAAAATCGAGCAAAAGCCGTCCGCCACGTTCTCGGGATATTAAAATGAACGCTGAATAGTTTCCGCGAATTGATTCGAATCGTTTTTACCATTTTCTTCTTCTTTTTAAATTTTAACCATTTGCGGTCGAATGCCACCATAATAGAGACTTCGAGTTTTCATGTCTAAATTCGAAAGCTGCAAGTGAATAATTTAATTACTCAAATAACCAGAGATTCACAGATTTCTCCGTTTTCTAGTATTTAAGACTTCGATGCATAACTCAGTTTTCTTGTGAAAAAGGTTTTCAAAAGCTTAAAAAATTGTTGTTTGCAAAGGGTTAATATCGATATGAACTCTCCTATCGTGTTAGCATTTTTTCAAGTAAACAGATTTGATAGTGTATTCGAATGCGTTCGTTGACACAATATTTTGGAGCTAGCTGATCGTAACAATCTGGCGACGTTAACATTTATATAAAATGTCGTGAATTTTAAAACCAGTGAAATTTTCGTTATACAATTGATATTATTGCTATGTAGAGATATTTAAATAGGTAAAAACGAATGAACGCAAGAAATGTTTTTATTAGTAACTACAAACGAGAATATGTAACATTAATCGGTAATTTTCAGACTTCCATACTTAAAGATCAATGATGAGAAAGTGGTGACTGACAGTTACGCAATGGGAGCATGCATCTTCTTTTGCAGAGTTTTGTTAAGATATTTAGCAAAAGTAGAATTTAGACATTTAAAATTTTTAATTTAGGAAATTTAGACATTGAAAAATTTAGAATTTAGAAATTCAATGTTTGGAAACTTAGAATTCAGAACAAATTTGTTTCAATATGAATTTTTAGAAAGCATGGTCTTAAATATGGACATTTTATGTGACATTTTCGATTGCGAGTTGAGTAAAATTTTATTTGAAATATGGAAGAGGGGCAAATATAAATAAACATGTAAGATATAAAAATATGGACGCGATTGATTGATCGAGGTGAGAACCAATTAGTCCGCGCGTGTCGACTCTACACAGCGAATCGTGAGCGCATGTGATTCATTCATCTCGGTACGCTGCGAATTTTTATTGCAGCTTCCTGCGGTTGTAATCGTTACCTCCTATCGAGCGCCGAGCTGAAATGCGTCCGCGAGAGACAAAGAATCTTTTGATACGGAACGACAATTTCGCGTAGGAATCATCTCTCGCGGAGGAGGCCCCGCCGTTATTAATCGTATTATAAACATTTCATACCAAAACGCTTCGTGATTATCAAAAGAAGTGTGCAGAGAGAATGTTCTTCCGCTCAGCGGCGGCCATTTTGTCGGCTTCTCCGAAAATGTAACGTTACACTTATAAACACTTGAGACGTGACAGAATTAACATTAGATTTACAGAACGAGCCAATTTCACTCACATTGAATGCTATAAACTGTATTTGGTAAATGTTTGGGTCGATTCTCATTGATACAATTACGAGAATATGCTTCCTAACGATACATTTTTAAATATCTAATTTCCTAAGATCTAAACGAACGAACATCAATCCGTATAGGAATAATAGAATAAACTGTAGAATAAATGTACGTAAATCTAATGTTAACGCGTTGAACGCCGTAATGTTAAAAAAAAAGTTGATCCTCCTGCCACCTCCTCTTTTTGTTTGCAATTTGCTGGAAGTAACATAAAATAATCATCTATTACGATTTTGTATCTATTTCATGCAACTATATATATAGATTTTTTAAGTGTGCATCACATGTGATTACGGCAGTCGTGTTGATAAACAGCATAACACCAACATGAGAATTAATGAACAAGTAGCGACGATACCTTTCGAAGTTTATAATTTATTTTATAATTGCTTGAAATCGATTATTGAGGATGCGTTTGTAGTAGCTAATTCTGAATGTTTCTCTCACTTGATCAACCCTTTACTATTAAATTATAACATGTGACTAATTTTGACAAAAATTCTGTTTGTACATTGCGACCTTGTAAATTGTAATTTATTTCATTTGACATTGTTCCTTTGTTAAGTTTAGAGTATTTATAGCGAGAAGATACATACATATCTTTTATATGCAGAATATGGCACCTGAAAACTGATATAACGAATAAATAAATAGCATTTCATGTGTTTCTGTATCGAACAATACATTGTACAGGAAACCGATATTTTACATTAATATTTCTCTAATGCATACGGTGACATGCGCCACTGGTTAAAAAGTATGAAACCAGGATTCACGATTAATGAACGAGGACAGTAATATTTTATGTTGATATAATAAAATTTGCAAAACCCCGGGTTGCGGAAATGATTTGTGTTTTATGTTAGTATACGAGTTTCGTGAAATTTTTACAGGATCATATGTGCGTCAGCATTTCTACACCTCCCCTTTTTTTAAATAAAACGCACCAAGTAATTAATTTTTATCAATCCACAAACAAACGTGCTTTGTGTTTTTCAACTTCTGGTTCTACAAAATATAAAATTAAAGTGAAAATTAATTTCGGACTTCAAGTAAGAATAATGATCAATTATTAAGTCAACGTAAAAGCAAAATTCTTCGCGCAAATCTTTGTCAAGCCTTAATTAATTTTCCATCGCAGGAGATTAACACTAGAACTACCGAGCAGTCAAATTGACTTCCTTTTATTCTTCGAGAGATATTATAAGAGTATAATTTACTGAGATCTTCATTAGCTTATATTGTACTTCGTACACTACCAAATCAGGTAATTTAGCCATTTCTCGGAGAAACGCTTGTATCTTCTCAACGATTGTAAAAGAGGAAATCAGGAATAGGTCTAGTAGTTTCAGCGTTAATTTCCCAGTTCTTGTAAAATATGATGTCACTGAAATTCGACTGATACGGTAGTCAACGTGTTAACGGGAAGGAACTTACAGTGTCAAGGAACGTGTCATTGACCGATGACGCGATCATACATTTCTCATCCGTTCTTGCAGCATAGTCTCCTTCATTTTGCAGGAAACGTTGCGAGGAACTTCCACGAAATCGCCAGCACATTGGCCGCTCCGAAAGAAATTTAAACTAGACTGGCCAAGAGGGAACGGCAAAAAGCTAGAAACACTCGTAGTCCAACCGAAATTGATTCCAAGGGGTCAAGCGAGAAACGAAGGGGCGAAGGAAAGCGGAAATAGAGGAAGGGGCGAGTAAGGACGAGGACCAGCGGCGGTGCACCGTGATCCGTCCCGTGCTCGGGGTCCATCGATCGTCTTTGGATCATCTCGCGGGATCACGGGACCGGTGAACATGGTTGAACACGGTGCTGCGCTGTCGCGAACACGTTTCGTCGGACCAGAAATGTGCAAGGGTTTTTCCGTGACTACACAACTGTCCTACCGACCGCCGATTTGAAAAGTAAGTGACGGGATATGGTTTTGATATTACTGACCGGATAACGTTTGTTAACACAGTATTGACTCGACTCGATGATTGTCAGTTACGAACTGTCTTATAATTTAATTTTAATATTATAATAGTTTTAGATGAATATTTAGAGAAATAGATAATTTTAAATGAATGTTTAGATAAATAGAAAAATATGTTAATAATATAAGTATTATAAATAATTGGCGAGGATTCGCAGTGTCAACACTAGAACAATCGTACCAATCGAAACGACTAATTTAGTTTTCTTATTTCGCAATTATTGATATTTTGAAAGCATCATATACCCCACGTAATTTTAAAAATAGTCTTATTGAATACTATAATGAATATCTGAACAAAACCGAAAAAAATGTTGTTACAATTTTTTCATATAAAAATTGTATTAATATTACTTATATATTTTTCCGCGAAATCAATTAAATTTGATTCGCGTGTATGTTAGTTATGCTAATTAAATACTTCCTTTGTATATATACATTTTTTAATTTATATTGCTGATTATTCTATACTATTTTTATTTAGTAATTAATTTAATTTTTATTTAAAGCTATTCAATGTGAGTCATAAAAATCATTTGTTATATTTGAAAGATTGTGATTCTTGGTTGTCCGACGCCCACACATAGAACACGTTTTCGTTAGAATGGCCGAGTAGACGATTCGGAGAAATCAGATTAGCCGAAACAAAAATATAAAGCGTTCGGTGTTATATTCATGATTCGATGAACTGAATTTTGTCGTAAAATTCTTCACTTTGTTGTTTATATGCTGAGTAATACTTAACCTTCTATAGGCTCGTGTGACTTTGAAGTCACACATCAATATACCGGGTTAAATTGACTTATTTAATTTTTTATTGCAAAATGACGAACATCAAATAATTAATCAACTTAAACTTTTGTACACACAGGTGTTTACATTCAACGTCATATTCGTTTCAATAAAATTATTGAAACTACTGAATACATTGTTAATTTGTATTCATATGTTGATATTTATTAATTTCATACTCCATAAATTTTCTTATAGTCACGAAACAAAATTTGGCCTATAGAGGGTTAATAAATAAAAATTAATTTATTGTCACTGCTGAAATAGTAATGCAAATTTCACACAGTCAAATTGATTCTAAATTAATACGATTTCTAAGCCCCACTTGGACTTCCAATTTTGAGACATTATACCATAAAGAAAAAATGCGAAAAAGGAAAAAGAATTTTTGAAAATTTTTCAATTTTATTAATTTTGGGAATACAGCAACTTGAATCAACGAAAGTAAAGTTATACTGCTTACTTTATCGTTAATAATTTAGTTGAAAAAGAAACGAATTCCATACTTATTCTCTGCCTGCGTTTACTCTAAAAGTTAGAAATTGATAATAGACAAGTAATATTTCATTTCTATGAAAAATAAATAAATAACGTTCAGACTTACCGAATTCGGATGAAAATTTTCATCACGAATCTGATTCGATACCACAGGAGAAGGGGTTAATATGATCGCTCAATATTAATCACTTATTCGAGTTGGTGATATTGGATTAATTTTAATAATCTCAATATTTATCATATTTAGTATCATAAAATTTATTTTTATTTAAAGTGAAGTTGACACTAAGTATTTTTTTCAAACGCAATGATACCCGATTTCATGAAATTTATTCGATTAGAATGTAAACAGTTCGTCGGACTATTTATAGTTCGCAAGATCAGAATTTTATTACACAGAATTGTATTGTAGAACGGTGGTTTTGTGCCATCGGCGATGTACCACATTAGAGAGAAAAGAATTCCGGTTATCGACACAAGGAACGAGGTCAGTCCGAGTTGGCACGTTCCTGGAGATAACGATTTTCATTCCTTTACTCGAGTTTGATTATCTTCCGGTATCTGGAGTCTACTAGCTCGCGCTTCCGTTCTTCTTTGACGCTGCTCGGTTATTCGTTTCGTCACCTTCATTTGCATTTCATTGATCGCGCGACCAGTCAGCTTTGGATCGGATTTTTTCACTATTTTCTTGGAGAGCTTTCGCTCCGGTTCATTGGCTGGGGTTGTATCGTTTTTCCGGTTTATCGATTACAGAATCTTCACGCCTGTCGCTTCGTTTCCACGAGGATCGAGAGTTCAAGCGATGTGAACTTGAATTAACTGTTGACTTTTGGGCTATTCATGGAGTACATGACTAGACTGTACAGTCCCTGGTGAAAAAATTAAGACCACCATTTTGTCCTCATATCATAATTTCCACATCAAGTTTTTAGGACTCATGCTTCATTTTTTTGCTTAACTCTTGGTCTTTACTTTCTGCACTCCAGCAGTGCCTCTCAATTGACAATTGATTTAACACAGGAAAATTGTAAAGTTTGTTATTTAATATTAAACTTTTTATAATGCATCGATACGTGAAATATATTTTATATATAATATAAAATATTTGCATTAGCTGTGCGTACCTATGAATAGAGCCAGCAACAAGTAATAAATTATTAATGCTAGAAACAAATGGATCAGCAAAAAGAAGGTGATATTTCGTTGATACTATAATTCAGTACATTAACACTAGCCTTACGGAACGCGACTATTTTTTAAATCCCCAATTTCCAAGATCTAAACGATTGAACATCAGATTATCTAGAAACAATAGAATAAACCGAACAATAAACGACCGTAAACCTAGTGTTAAAGACGCAGATTTTGTTGAAGAAGCTTATCTGACACGTGCAGAAAACTGAATCAGTCTTTAGCATATAGTATGCGCTAAACGCTGAGATAACTCACTGGATACTTTATTGTAGAATTCTACCTCAAACAGGATGTGGGAATTGAGTAAAAAATGTGCATTGGTCATGACCGCAAACGATATGACGCATCGAAGAAATAGATGAATCTTGTATTTGCATTGTTAATATGCGGTTCAAAAATGAATAAACTTCTAACAATTCTCTACCAAATGTGTAGGTACTCCATTGAAACAATACGAATTCTGTAGTTCAGTTTTCAGAAAAATTGTTTCTGTCTTATAGATATAATTATATCTATAACTTCAATTATCGCAGTACAACGATACCACTGAGAATTCTTAAGAAATATTTTTCTTTGCATTAATGATTATTAAGCTGACACAAATTTCTTTCGCAATTTTAACGATTCTTTATTACATCTTGCGCAATATACAAAATATTTTCGTCGAATGACATATTCAAATTTTAAAATTCTCATTGAACTTTCATTACGATAAATCTCTAATGTTCGTTTTAAATGTAACATTAGTGGCATAGAATGAATTTTATGTTTCCACTATATTTTTCCTCTGAAATGTGACATATCATTCCTCAGTTCCGGAAACGGTTGGATAAAATTTTACGTGACGTGTGTTTCTTTCTATGACATCGCTACTTCCTTCAAAAGAAGCTGCTCGGTTGGATTCGAACTGATACCTATACCATATTTAATTCTTAGTTCTGAATACATTCAATTACGTTGTCACACGATAGATACATTGCATGTAAAGAATCGATGGTGTACAGTTGGCCCATGACATCCACGCGGTGCTCCAATAAATTAAAAGTGCACAGGGTCTAGGGGAAGCAGCCGCGCGCTCCACCTTGGTCCTTCTAGGAAACATAGTAACCGAACCTTCGTGTCATGTTCGTTACACCTTACTCCGTCGCATTTTGCTCCGTCTGCTTTCTTCGCTACACGACTCGGCCAACAGCATTAACTATTGTTCTGTCGCTATTGACGCGAGTATTCTGAGTGGAAGAGTCCCTTTGCCCCTGTGATCTTTTAATTTGTCGGAGCTCGGCGTGGACGTGGTGGGCCAACTGTACCTCGCTCAAGACGCGAGAACTGCACTGTGCTACTAGTTGTTCACGAGAAGAGCCTTAGATATTATGGTTTTGATTGGTTATGTGTAACCGTATCGACGAATAGCAAATCAGTATCGAAAATGAGATGAGAAAAGTTGAACAACTCTTCTCGCGAACAACGCCGAGTATTTTCAGAGAACGAAAGAAGTCCATCGGAAGGTGACACAGGCAAGAGGGGTCTTTCATTGTGTGCGTCGCGTGACCAGACGAACATAGTGTGTGCGTGATCATTTCGAGCAATCGCACGTTACAGCCGAAAATGTGTGAGATAAGTAACGGGCAAGGCTCATTCGGTTTCGGCGCGACACTCATAGGGAAAGGCCTCTCTTGGCCCTGCTTCCTTCCGTTGGCCTCCTCTCGCTCTCCGCACAGTGTAAGAACATTCGTTCGATTGGAATGAACTTGTCATAACACGGAACCGTAACCGACTGTACCGCAGGTCGGCGGATGGACGTGGCAGCCGCTGGGAAGTCCGAACACGGAGGAAAATACGAACCGGTAGCCCACCGTCGTCATCGTGTTCGGCGACGAAAGAGCGGCGAGTTGACAGGAATCGGCAGGTTTGCGGGAAGGAAACGAGAACGGAAGAAGAACCGGAACGCATCATTCTCAGCCACCGAGAGGTTGGAGGGGGAGCTTCTAGGCGGGAATAGGAAGGAAAGCTTGCACGAAGCTGTAACGTTAGTACTCTACTAGCGAGAACGTCCTAAGAAAGTTGTCTCCGGACCACCAACGTTGCCTGTAATTCATTTCTACACGTCACTGCCATTTGATGCTGCTATGTAACCGTTATATCGTGCCGTCTTTTTTATACGCGTATATATTCCCTTTTGATACAGTAAACAGAATCGCTGTCAGTGTGACAGCAGAGTTCCTCGCCGAGCGACACCTCGCGCCGCCTGCCTCGTAAACAAGAAACAAGGAATAGTGTGCCTCATTGCATGTGCATTCATATATATATATATATAAATAATATATATATATTTTTGCCCTCGTTCTTTGACGTCGCAAATTTATAGTTGTAAAAGCGTGTGTGCGGTTTTTTGACGCTGTGAACGCCGGTTTCCGAGTGTGATCAACCGAGGATCGTGTTTTTTCTTTTCGTGACACCCGTTGGTTCGCACGTGGTCCGATCCGGTGACAGTTTGCTTAGTGAATAGTAGTGGTGCTCATCCTCGGATTTGGTCTCGTGCCTAGTGAAAGTCATCTTAGTGGATTTTTCGTAAGGTTTTGTCTGACGAAAGGGGATTATCGGTGGTGGCGCAAGATGATGCTTCCTCAGATGGTGCTGGTGGTGCTGTTCTCTGTGTCGGCTACGGGAGCGCCCCGGTCCTCGGTCATTTATGCGGACGACAAAGTGGTGAGTCGATTTATTATGGATTCTTAGAATGTTTGAAAATTGGTGGGTAGGATAATTGGTTCGTAGTTTTCATTATTATCATTATTAACACGTTGAACGCCGTATGATTTCATACAGTAAAATACACAAAATGGGAAAAGTATAATATTCAATCATTTGATTGAATTGAATTATTATTATCGCACGTTCATCTAGCTGAATGTCGCCGCATTGGGTAGCATTATTTATAATATAGAAATGTTTTCAAATAATCATCGTTTAATTGAGTGAACTATGGTAATTCGATTTGGTTGGGGTCACCGGTGTTCCCCATGGCACTCAACGTGCTAAACATTACTATTATATTTACTATTATTATTACACATTATTACAGAGTTGTACTATAAAGTTGACCTCAATAACTCGAAAATCAATCGTAAAATCAGTAAATTTTTAAAACTCGTAAATTCAGAAGAAGGCCAACCTGTACAAATCAAAATTCAGATTTGCGTGTAAGCCGAAACCTTTACAAAACCACACATTTTCGTTTGTTAAACCAGTTTTACTCTGCCAAATATCTCTACAGATGGAAGGACTTATGCTCTTGTGATTCATATTTCTGTGCTACATACAGAAATTATACATGCTACATATGAATATAACATGACGGAAACAGTTTTAATATCAGTTGGTATTAAACTACTAGCAGCAGAATTCCAAAAAATCAAGGAAATATTTTCTCACAGAAATTCCCATTCAGCACATTAGAGAACGAAACTGTTGAGTCACAAACGTCCTCGAATCGCCGCGAATATATTCTTCCAGGGAAGATTGTGCAATCGTCCATTCGCACGCAAAAAGATGAATGTTTAATAAACCAATGGCAATCATAAATGTTCTCGGGAAAAATAATTAATTTTTCAAACACATTTCCACGAAATTTGATTAAATAGGTAAACATTCTTGGAAATAAAATGAAATATTTCTCAAGGCATTGCCGTGCTTTTCCCTCTGTTTGTAATGCACATGATATACTTATATACGTATAATACGATGCATGTTATAGCGATACAGGGGTGAGGTCAACGCACCATTAAACCCAGCACGCAATTAATATCTACCGATAATTTTCATTCATGAAAGGTTTTCGAAAGAAACGAAACGATAAGAGGACTCTTCAAGAGGGCTTGTATACATGCACGTACATACATGTAATTACGTATGTGTGTATACCACGAAAGAAAGGCATGTATTTAATGTTTTCTTTTTTTGCCGAGATAAAGGGTAGCTCGCGTGCCATCTTTGTTTCGCGTGTTCGGCGAAAGTATCGAGAGCGGTGGCAAAAATTCCTCACGCGAGAATGTTATCACTTTTCTGCAAATTAATTTTGCGGCTCTGTCCCGCTGTGTAACTCGTCGGCTGATCTAGATTAAGCCGAACAAAGAAGAGGTCATGCGGTCGAAGATAGTCGCGGGATCCGAGTAGTACGATGCGCCGTAATTTAAACCCGGGTCACTGAAGTCACCAATTAATTATTTCATGAATAATAGCGCGCGCTCTTACGATTTTCATAGAATGACCCGGAAACTCGACCGCGCGTGTAAAATTCTCCCTTTGATTTACTGGATCCACGAGGAATCCGATCCCTCTTGAATTTCGAGCGTTTTGAGATGTTTACGGGTCAAAGTGATTAATTCTAATTTCATTCGTACGTGACAATGGAATGTACGAAGAAAATTGAGGAAAAATGTTTACATATTAACCCTTTGCACTTTTGCACTCCAAATCGATTTGATATGGAAAAATTGTAAGTTTTGACATATAAATATTAAGCTTTATATAACGTATCGGTATGTAAAATACTAAAATAAAATAACTTCGTTTCTTCATTCATTAATTTTATAGTTTATGTTACTTTAATCTTAGAGTTATATTTCAATTTTATAATTATAATAATACTAACGCGGAAACGAACAATGGAACATCGAAGATTCTAATTCGAAACTGTATATTTTCCTGCCATGTAACTGGCATAAACCTTAGACTGAGCATAGTCTATCTCAACGCACAGCTTTTCAGCGAGAGATCTGAGGACATTGATAGCTTGTATATTTTGGTGATGAGACTGTGCGTAACTAATTGACTTAACCCATTTCGGTTAGGTTAGGTTCGTAAATTTGGAGTTTAGTGAAATTGATCACTATTATGTATATGTAACTTTATTCGACAAATATACTATTGTACAGTGAGGAATACTGAATTCCAGATGTATGGAATATCATTAAGTAAATTCATTTATTCGTGCAAATGTTAGAATATAAGTTAATCGAAATCTCGACGAATGGTGAGATAATTACAATGCATATAAGAAAATGCAAGCAAATAATATTATAGTTCCAGGTAAAAAATTATTATCTATTGTAATCTTAATATATATTTTTCTGTAAAATCACATCTTTTTCAGTCGAACCGATAGTTGTAGGTGATTTCATTAATTTTGTGGCTGAACCTATCTCAACTCGAACGTCATCTTTGCACTCTAATAAATAGTATCAATTTTCAAAAACAAATGACAGCCACGATCGTATCAATGCTTTTTCACTCGAGAAACACGTACTTATTACTAACTTACGACAAAGATTAAACAGATGTTCATTAAGTTTCGTTTCACTTCCCTTAGTCACGTTTCATTTTTCATTATGCATCATCGTCTACGTGAGAACATTAATTAGTTAAATAGATTACAAAATGACGTGGCGTCGTACGATGGTTTATACGTGACCTAGTATTAATTTTACAATCAGTAACGTAAGTTCTGTAAAACGTGGTATTGTAAGACACGTTGTATTAGATACTTTACTTACAATCAGTGTTGACTACGTTGAAAGATTTTTCTACTGTACTTGTTACATTTATCGTTAAAATTAAACGTATAGTAATCAAACAAAATAAATAAATGTATTGACAAAAACCACATTTTTCTGTAGAATCTCCAAAATAAGTTTCCAGAATATATGATGTTTAATCGTATCATATTTCACAATTTTACTCAAAGTTTTACAGTGAATTTTGCTTTATAAACTCTGCCAATGTTTCTCTTCATCATCATCGAAAGATCGATTAATTTATCGATTTTTCGATGGAAACATTGGTGCGTAACGTTATGTTAAATCTTCCAGACCTTAAATATCATTAATCTTCGCCTGTTTATAACTCTTACTTTTTTGTAATCTGGAAAAATCCCAAAGAAAATTTCTTTTAAAGAAATATCCGAATTTGAAACAAAATTTCTACTAAAAAAATATTTAAATTCAAAACAAAATTTCTATCAGAGATATATTCTGATTCCGAAGAAAATCTTCTACTTCAGAAATCCTTAAATTTCCAACGAAATTTCTACCACAGAAACATTCAAATTTCGAAGAAACTTTTCTTCCTGGGTGAAATCAAGCGAAACGATGGACTCGATCCAAGCGTTCATTATATCGAGTAGTTCATTGTGTGCTCAAGTTTGCCCGTTGCTCCTGCAAGTGTGGTTTTAATGTCCGTGGCATGTTCCAGCTTCTCGCGTTTACGCGTGACTCGATGTCCGGCTGTGTATGGGTGCGCGTATATTCGGCATTATTTCATGCGTGTGTCACAAACAGAGGCGGTTTGCAGATGTGTGCCGGGATGACTAAGAACCACGGTCGATTCCGCGTGCGAAAGCCGCGCGTATATTGACTGCGTGCTTTCAGACGTGGCGCCTGCGTCGTCACAACCCTCCTTTTGATATTATACGATACAGCGATTGGCGATTTGCCTTTTTCACCGAAAACTACCCTTGCCGAACGAAACGATCTTATTATTCCATTCACATCGGCAAGCGGAATGATCCGCAAAGAATTATTTCGAATACCGCTTAAGTTGCTGCGAAAGTTTCGGGAATCTGCCATTTCTAGCGCTGCCATTCTGTTCTTCGCTATCTTCGGGAAACTTCACATTTTTAAGCTCGGAAAGTGTATTACTGTTGGATGAGCATACTTCGAAGAACATTAATAAATAAGAAAAATAAATTCTTATACTTTCCCGAAACTTCTACAGCAATACACGTATAAATTTTCAAACTTCTAAAAACACTTTCCGTGCAAAGCCGAATTATGCATTGATGCCTCAAATATTAGAAAAGGCGAAAAATATGGTTAAATTATTATTGTTTAAAATGTTTTTAAACACTCATCAAATCCTAAATTTTTAATTCACAAAAAAAGATAACGATGAATGATAGTGAACAAATTTGACGGCCATTCTGTAATTAACGATTCTTATTAATCATTTATTTGATTAAGCTGACCATCTGGAGCAGGTATAATTAATTCTGCACTTGTTCGCGGAAAATCGTATACAATTGTTACGGTTTAGTGCATTGATTTCGCACGATACTCGGTAAAACTGTAAGGAATCTTAATTTGATACGTTTATAGGCAAACTTTAATCTGAATTGGACGTCTGAAGTTTAAAGGGTAATAAATCTCAGTGATAAAAATCATAAGATTGGTATGTATCTGGTTTATCTAGGATCATGAAATAGTTACGATAAAGTGAACCCGGGTGTCAAGGGGTGAAACTTTCGTGGAAGCTTCCCTTATTAACTTGTTTCTTTCTTCATCGCTGGCACACTTAATTATAAAAGGAACTCTTCTCGCTTAAACTGTACGAGTGAAAGACACGTTGTTCGTTAATTAACCTTAATCGTTTATGCTATAACGAGGAAATTAGTAAAATTATTTTGTACGAAGATTCAGTAATATAATTTTTTCGTTGATAATGTGTTTTATTCTTAATTATACCTATTATTCTTGTTTTATGTATTCTCAAGAAAATTTAACAGTAACATTTTTCGACCAACAGCTTTAACTGTTATCACCTTCAACTATTTTATTTTTGCTATACATATATGATTAGGGATTCTGTACGAATGAAACCACTTAATAGATATCATAAACCTTGATGCTTGGTTTTATCAAGCAGGGCCTTCGTCG